TACATACATACATACATACATACATACATACATACAGGTGAAACTAATATAAGCGTGTTAAAAACATGTATTTTCTGTTTTAAACAAATGAAACTCAGAAAAAAAACATTGTTTAAATCATATTTTTTCAAACATAATATTAATTTAAAATTTTTAATCTATTCTTTTTCATTCTACTAAATGATAGACACCTTATTTGAAGTCCGACGTTGTACCAAACTGTCGCGATCAGCTGTGTTACGAACTACGTCGCGCCGACACCACCGCCATGAGACTGTGCTGGTGAATCCCCGAAATAAAAAAACCAATTGTAATGAAGGAACCACATACTATTTATAACTTCGCATTACAAGTTGGCTATTGCAATAACGTCTACGGTATTGTTATTTACTTAAGTAAATTATTTTGTGGTGTTTTTTTTTTTTTGAAAAATGTCGTCTACGGGAAGGAAAAAAGATGCCATTTGGTCATATTTTAATGTTGTTAAAGATAATAACAAACAATCAGTGACCGCTAAATGTAAAAAATGTATGTAACGTTATTTTTATCTCTCTTTTGGTGATATATTTTTAAAAATCCACTTATTCCATCTATTATTACTATTTTATGTAGATTAACAAAAAAGTAACATAACGTTATTTTAGAGAGTAGGGAGTTTTTAATTAAAATTTGATTTGACAAAAATTACTGAAGAAATCTTTTTTTTTCAGAATCCTTGTCAGCGTCATCATCAACAATCTCTGTTATTGATAGCACTTGATAGTGATGTGTGATGACCCCAAAACGGCCAAAATCTTCTATTTCTAAAAGCAGCACTTCAAGCTTAGTTATTCGAACCAGCTAATCAAAAAATTAATCGAAATGTGAATAATACAATTGTAAGATAACTTGTATAGTCACAGACAACGCTGCAAATGTAACCAAAATGAGAAGGGATCTGTTTGAGGAATTAGATAGAAGAGATATAACAACTTATGGTTGATCCGCCCATATATATTGAAACTTACTTGTCCATGATATAGAAGTGTCAGGAATAAAGGGTAATATCAAAAAAATTTGTAAATATTTCAGAAATGTATATTTTACTAGTACAAAATTCCAAAAGCTGGTGGTTCTACTCTTGTATTGCCTCAGGATGTTCATTGGCATTGTGGCGTTCTATAAAAAATATAAATACGACAGCATTGGAACTTGCTCAACAGCTACATACAGATATTGCATCGTCAGCCAACATAGAAAGACTCTTATAACTCTTATCATACGGTTTAGTACATTCAAAACTACGTAATCGGCTAGGCAATGTCAAAGCGGCTAAGTTGGTATCAATTTTTAAAAAGCTTAATTCTATCAGTGATGACGTGACTGATCAGAATGATCAGATTTATAACTATGACTATGTGACTGAAAGAGTATAAGAAATTTGTTAACGCTTGTATGCAAAATGTATTAAGTTTTCCAATTTTTGTTATATTCCCAATTCCCATTATGTATGAATAAATAAATAAATGATATGTGCACTGCCAGCTATATTTTCTTTAGTATCGGCAATTTGCGATTTTGTAACCTTTTTGTTTGTTTAATCAATACGATTGACCATACGTATTTTTGGGCATGCCTTAGCGGAAGGAAGGAAAATATAAAATTGTGAAAATTGAGCCTTACAAAATACTATAGATGGAAAGAAAAACAAGATATATATATATTCATAATATGATATTTCTGTTATGATAGAAACATAATAAACAAACAAGACCCAAATGATAAATAGAATTAGCTAAAATTAATAACGAAAATAATAACATACATCTCCTGCTTATAACTAATACATATTCTGTGGACTGTAAATCCGTAAAATAACAATAAAAAAAAAATTATTATTAATTACCCACTGCCGTTTGGAACTGATGAATAATGTGAAGTCCGGATACAGGAAGGGCAAAGAACACCGTCACATTCAGCAAAAACGATAAGCAGCTCAATTCAACGACTATGGTGACAAGGTAATACACGACCCGAATACTTGGCATCGATATGACCGAAACAACCAAAGGAGAGAGCGCGAATGAATGCTTCACGACCACTTCCACACACACAGGGACCGGTCTAAACAGCAGCGCCGCCGTACCGTTACGAAGGTGGTGGTTTTTTTGGTAGGAAAAAACATTGAAGGTCTCGGCGTATATTATATAAAAAACGCGGAATCTCCGGAATACTAGACGGCTACAGAAAAAGATGAAAACAAATTGCGTTATGTCAGCGGCATACCCGTTGTGACAAACACAAACGTGTATGATGTGATCGACTGACCTGCTCTCCCTCACTTACCGTGTTTTCATATTAAATTAAATATATTGCGTCACCTCACATTAATGTGTATCTAACAGATATGTATGTTAAAAAGTTTGTATAATATATTTTGTATTTGAAAATTTTTCCTATTTTAGCTTCGAAGCGAATCTGAGAAGGTATTGGTTTTACTATGATGTGTTTTTATTTTTTTGTGTCTGTTACCACTTTTCCTCAGCTCTCACCGAACGGATTTCTTTCAACGTACGTCAAAAGATCACAAATTGTATCTAGTCAAAGACATTACGCTCATAAATTGAAAAAATTTCCCTCATTCCTCGTAAATGGGAGAAACCTCCAAAAAAATTACAAATTTAAAAATCACTAATATTCGTAATTTTTAAAATTTTTTTTACTAAAAACTGCCACAACTTTTTCAAAAATGAACATATCAATATAACTTTTTTTTATAGATGCTTAATCTCTTTACCAATCATTTGGTATAATTTTTTCATAAATTAAACCCAACCCAACCTGCCCACAGGGGGGATTTAAAATGACAACTTTTTCAACTTAAATTTTAAAAGTGATCCGGAAGGTCTGACACTTTTATATATAACTTAAATTAAATCTAATGTAATATACTTTGTTATGAAAAAAAAATTTGACCTCTGAACTTGTTTTCGTGGTGAAAATGGCTCCCAAATACTTTCTGTATTGTCAGTTAGTGTATTTATATACTCATAGCAATGTGTCTTACTACAATTGATAATAACAATGCTGTGTACCTGCTAATATCGATGTTATAAAAAACCAATTAGCTACCTGTATTTGTAATCCCTTGTGTATTATACATGTATATTAACTCAAAATTTTGAAACTTTAAATGTTTATATCTAATAAGCTAATAAAGTTTTAATAAAAATTCAAATGCCATTTACTATTAAATTATAAACTCAAACATTTTATTAAATTAAAAATATGTGTTACCATTTAAAAAAACAAAGTTGACCCCCCTCCAAGGCATAAGGGATGAACTTAAAAAGTATTACNCCCCTCCAAGGCATAAGGGATGAACTTATAAAGTATTACATAGTTAAAAATTCAAGAATAATGTGTAACTAAAAATAATGAAAAAAAAAAAATTTTAAATTGTTATTATTCTGCAAGTAATTGAGTGGGTTATGATAAAAAAATCACACTGTATATCTTAAATTAAAGATAATGTAATATACTTTATTTTGAAAAAAAAAATTTGAGCTCTGGACTTGTCTTCGTGGTGAAAATGACTACCAAATGCTATTTTTGTGTGAAAATTCTTGATTTTATTTTTAACTTTATTATGCTATAACTTATTGAAAAATCCACACGATTTTTTTATGAGAAATAATATTTTTTAATAATCCCTCTTTCATTCGACATACACTATCTTAATCAGGATATTAATAAGGAACTAGCAATTCATGTAGCTTTTGGAATAATCCACCAATTTTTTAAAATTAAACACTGTCTAAAGATTTGCGTCGAAGCGTTTTTTTTTTTATAATGATTTTAATTGCTGTCAGATATCATTATACTTAATCCAACCATAGCACGTCACCACTGTGCTGGGTTTTTTTTCATTATATTAATAATGAAAATGAAAAAAAAAACACTTGTTAGATTTAAGTGTTTCAAACATGTTTTAAACCGTTTTAAACTTAAGCAAATGTTTAAACCTTAAAAACAGATGATTATAACAGAATGTTTATGTTTAATGTTAATACTGGTAACCACTACTACACCAGAACTGCAAATATTAGTGCAGTGTTGTACCTGTTGTTAATTTCTGATTGGGTATCAACTTACATCATTTGGAGACAATTAAACCAACCGACGCTGTAGAATTATAAAGCTGTAGATGTATGTTAGTGTACATTTATATGTCTACATGACTAAACATTGAGGCGATGACATCGCGAAAATCGTAAAAAAGTCTTTATCTAAATTTTAAACTTCATTCCCCTCCCTTATACGGTACTATTACATATTGGTACTATAACTACTATTGTTATAATAATTAATATTTAAAAAAAATGTTTAATGTAAATATTATTTTATGAAAATTTTATTTATCACATTATCTATATTATATATATATAATATCATATTTATCATATTATAAATAAGTGAAATAAGGTTAAAAAATATTTGTATTTAAATTTAAAAGTTTTAGCTCTATTAATAAAATTTTAATATTGCACATTTTCCCTTCAAGTATTTTTAATTTTTTTATCAACTTTTTTAACTTCAAATATATTCTCTATAAAAACTCAACTGTTTTTCACCCGCTACTCTTTTTTTGTTTTTGCGTATGATCCCGTCGTGGTCTCCACTATTTAATAATAATTAATAAAATAAAAATATAACAACTTTAAACGATTATTACCGTTAAAAATAAAAATTGTTTTCGTATTCAACTTTATTTATCAAATCGCTGATACAGAAATACACATTGGCGCAAATAGAAAAACAATTTTTTTTTTTCAATAAATGAGCAGTGGGGTGTGGATGAGTTGGATTAAAAAGTGTTAAAAATATTAATTCAAGATAATTCATTTTTAAAACTTTCAACTATAAAATTTAATAGTATATTATTATAATATTTCAAATTAAGTTTAATTTTAATTTTTAAATACATTTTTTTATTTTAAATAAATTTTAAAGCAAGCAGAGTATTTTTATTGTAGGATATACGAAGTGATTCTTTTAACGCTATAAGAATCACTCTTTATAAAAATAAAAATTCATGTTAAAAAATTGAAACTAAAAATTATACGTAATAATTACCTGTACAGTTAAAATTATACTTTTCGTTGATGCCAAAATACTTTAAAACTTTATTTACTGTTTCTATACTTTTAAATGATAAATTTTTTACCAGTGCATTAAAACATTGTATTTGTGGTGCATTAAGTCCATCGCTCTATAAATATTTATATTATATATTTGTTAAAAAAATAAATAATTAATTTAATAAATACTTACCATTGTGCCGGTAAAAAAACTAACTGAACAAAAGATTAGTATAGTTTTTAAATGCATTACAATAATATTTCAACTTAAAAAAATAACTATTTAAAAAAAAATAATTGAAATCTTTAAATTTTAGCTAAATAATTTTAGGTACGTGGTTTTGCAGTTTATATTGAAATAGTGCAAATATTAATAATTTATTCTAAAATAATGTTTTTCGTAAAAAATATAGATTTTATGTACTTGACACTATTGCTGTTAAACATTAAAACTCGCATACTTAAATTTGTTATTATAATGGTATCATCGAGTATTTAAATTTATCATTCAAAATATAAAAAATAAATTATAAAACAAATAAAAATTTATACGGTTAAATTTTAAAAAATTGACATTTTATTGACGAAATAATTAAAAACTATAGCTATATGTTTTTTTACTGTAGTAAAGAAAAAGCAAATTAAAAACAATTATAGATATACGTAATTTTGCAACTATGTGACTTACATTATCTTTTAAAAACAATATAGATGTTGTTAAGAATCTTGTTATGTTTATGAATAAATGATGTGTAATAAAATGAAAAATGATGAGTGTAGGATAGGTTGGGGGCATGGTGGAAGTGTTATAAACTATATCGATTGTGTTGGATTCATTCATATCATCCTTATTGTAATATAGGTCATTAATAATTGAAGAGCACGAGACTCTTTATCTCGGGGTCGTGGGTTCGAGCCACACGTTGGGCGCCACTTTGTTGTATTTATATATGGAACAATTTTTAGTAAGGTTTAGTAAATAGTAGGTTTATAAATATTTACTTCCTGATCTAGTAACAATAATTTGGGGAATTACAATTAATCTAAACATTACATAAGTGTTCTACTTCTAGGTTTACAAATAATAGACTATATTATATTTTTGTAATAATAGATCAAGAAATTCATAGTTAAACCAAACATTACAAAAATGCTTTGTTTTCAGTTTTACAAAATAATGACCTACATTACAATATTTATAAACCTTTTTGAAAATGATTACTATATTAATTGTATAAAAAGACAAACAAAATATTTTAGTATATAAGATGAAATTGTATGAATTCAAAAGGGGAGAAAGAGAAGACCTCGGGAGTACCGAAGGTAATCTCTTTCCGTGTGGTACGTTTGTGACTTTAAGTTTTTTATTTGGTGTATTATTTATTTATTCTGTATTAAGTGTATCAATATTTTATATGTTTTATTTTGATTGATTATATCTTTATTAACTACATTTTGCGTTATTATTGAACTACTATAACTATAAGTTAGAACAAAAAAATTGTTCCATATATAAATACAACAATATTTACTTCCTGATCTAGTAACAATACTAAAAAAAAAAATATAGCTGGCATTGCACAATAGTTATTATTTAAACATACTAATACTCAAAAACATAATATTTTTAATATAATTTTAATTTTAAATAATAGTAGCCAACAGTTAATAATAATAATAACTGCAAATTAACGAGAAGTTCAATATTTTGTAAAAATCAATATTTTTAGTGTTGAAAACGAAATAAATTATAGTAATCATTTATATAGGGTGTTGATAATATAGAGAAAATATTTATATGTTTGAAATAATATTTTATCAAATTCTTTTTTGATTATTCAGTCACACTACCGCGTTTGTTAATAGACATTTTTTGTTAATGTGTAATCGTTATTGTATAAAACATGTATACACATAATCTATTACATATATTTGTATACAAATATTTAGAAATCGGGAGTTTAAAATTAATTATTATGATATTAAAGTGAAATTACTTAAGTGATGAAGAAAAGAGTTAGTATACGGGGATATGTGTCCTATGATTTGCTGACCCCCTAGGAAATTTTTGATTTTTCCGCATAAATGAGCATGAAATCGTCGATTTCAAAGTTACAGTGTCATCAAGAACCATCAGCTCTAAAAAGAAGACTCTACTCTATTAATAATGTGGCTGCCGAACCTGTAAGAAAACAGCGCTACATTTATATCGCACTAACACTACCAGCTGAAATGATTGACTCTAGCAGTTACACTATTGCGTTCAGCGACAGAAAATTTTTGCAAGTGGGTCTGAATCCAAAGGATGACTTCAATGTTACGGTATGCATTATTACTCCTTCACGATATATTAGTATGTCAGCAGATTATTTAAATATTATTTACGGCATGAGGGATGAAATAACATTATTCCTACAATCACCTCCGGTAAAAGGAGAGAACATTATGTTATACCAAAATGTCGATTTTAATATAACCAAAGTATTGTACCGTGATACCATGCATTTAGTATTAGAATCCAGAATAGTGGATGGGTGTCGAGTGTTATTGAATAACGAAAACATTAATAGACTTATGGACTTACAGTGTACTATTAACAGTGCAATATCAAGAAAAATAAAAACACGTTTACTATTAAGCCATCAAATAGACCGCATTATACAATATGCCGACGGTAAATGGTCAGGCCCTAAAATTCAACAATCAAACAATGATGAAATGGTTAAATTTATAAGAAGTTTGAACGACATAGAAATATGCGATACTATTCCTAAAGGTGACAGTAAATACATAAGCGAGCTGAAGAATTTAGCGTGCAACGGAATAGTTGATAGTTGGGTCAAGTCATGGTCCAACGACATGCTTCAAATTAATGTGAGTTTAATGAACATAGATTGTAATAACCTTTATTGTTATTAAATATATAATTATGTTTTAGGAAAAAGAAGAAGAAATGTGCGATGAAAATGATGGACCAACATTTTTCAATACAACAGTGTATACCCAAGAAAATAGTTATAGTCCATGGGCTTCACAATGGCCGAAACCCAATCACGTCAGAAAATTAACTTATATTAATAATTTATAAACAATAACTTTATATATTGTACTAGTTTCTTATAATAAACTTATAATCTAAAA